TTCAGCTGAGCTTAGGTGACATGAATTTGCAGAAGATTTAATAAGCATAGTCTTGGTATTTTCTCCATCAGCACTTCCCAATCCAAAATCAATAGTACAACCGTGAAACTATTAGCAGAAGTAAAAAACAAAGCAAGACACAAAGCAGGCCCTCATACTTGACTAGGTATCTTGGAGAAAGGTGAATATCCCCCAAAAGTGGAGAGACTGGAGAAACATTATGAGCAGAACTTACCAAAAAATTAAATATAAGAAATAAGGGGAAGAGAAATCAATAATGACCCCTAATTTGGGGGTTTGAGCATCAACTGGGTTGATGCTCAAACCATTTATTTATTAAGATGGGAAAGTAAGAGAAGGAACACATTTGGTGAGGAAGAGCAAAGTTTGGGAAGCAATCAAGCATTCTAATTCAAGTTTTAGATGTCTGTGATACATCTTAATGAAGAAGTCACAATAGTGACAACAGCTGATATTTACTGGATATCTATAATGTGCCAGGTCCATGATAAGTACCACATATGTATAATATAATTTAGTACTCACAAAAATGTCTTATAAAAGTCCTATTATTAGTGCCACTCGAAGATAAAAGAAATGAAAGCTCTGATGACAGGAAATCTATGAACCAAAGAATGGAAACAAAAGTGGATGACTGACTCTTTTTTCCACAGTACAAAACAATAAGGATTTTATACATAAAATCATCTATTGTTACCAACTTTTCATGATATAAAAACAGAAGTTAAATATACATCTTGGTAGATAGGAAAAAAAACCAAAAAACCATAATACAACAAGATAAACAAATTCTGCCTTCCTGGGATGACAGAACTTTTCAACCCACAAAAAAATGACTCTTCTGATGAGGAAATCTACACCCAAGTAAGTTAAATGACTTGTCACTTTCCTGGTTCATGCCACTTTCACAAGTACTCCCTCTGTATTTTGACTCCCATTCCATCCACACTTCTTCACGTGGCCAACCCCTTTAACTTAATTGTCACTATCTCACAGCAAGAGCATTCCCAACTTTCCAATTGAATAAGGCACATTTCGCCATTATTCTCTTTCATAGCATACAGATCTTTTCCTTCATAGTGTTTATCATAATCTAAAAATACTTTACCCGTTTAAGGTAAAATTCTTCATCTCTTGCACAAAACTACCACTCTCAGCAAGTGTGTGTGTGTGTGTGTGTGTGTGTGTGCGCACGCGCATGTGTGCGTGTTCGTGCTCTAAGTCGCTTCAGTCGCTCCCAAGTCTTTGCAAGAGGCTATGTTACGGTATCTTTGGGGCTCCGCTGGTGGCTCAGATGGCAAGGGGACTTCCCTGGTGGCTCAGACCATGAAGAATCTGCCTGCAGTGTGAGAGACCTGGGTTCGATCCCTGGGTCAGGAAGATACCCTGGAGAAGAGAATGGCTACCCACTCCAGTATTCCTGCCTGGAAAATTCCATAGACAGAGGAGCCTGACGGGTTATAGTCCATGGGGTCGCAAAGAGTCGGACATGATTGAATGGTTATTCTATTATATTTTTAGAGGCTAGCACAGCTCCTGGAACATAACAGATCCAGATTAAATATTTCATTGATAGATACAGATAAACGTGCCATTTTATATCTGATAATTAACTGCTAATGTTTACTAAGTGTTTACTATAACTGTTCCAAATGCTTTATATATATATTGTCACATTTACTTCTTCCATGTAATCCCATGAGGCATAGATGCTATTGTTATCTTCATTAACAGATTAGAAATTTAAGGCATGGAGAGATTAAGTAACTTGTCTGACATCACAGCTAGTCAGCAAGAGTCAGAATTCAATTTTAAGCAGCCTGACTCTAGCTTTTACACTATGGAATAGCTGCTATGACACACCAGAGTCACTTTTACAATGAGAATCTTTGCAGAAACTAAATGATATGTCCTCTGTGATAATGTATTTTTAACTTGACCAGAAAAAGCATTTCACAAGGGAAGACACAGTTGCACCCACTACTGTAAAACTTTCTTCATATGACTAGAAAAACATAATCATAAAAATATGCCAAACATGGAACATTCCCTACACATCTGCCTAATTTATTACCACACACAAATCAACTTCAAAAGGCAATGGGGAAAAGCACCTGGACTTTTCCTTTTTATTCTCACCCTTCTTTTTAAGAGTCCCTGGTTAAGGTAAAAACCAAGAACTAAATCCGAAACAAACATGTAGAAGCTCTCAGGTCAGGTCATCAGATTAATGGAATGTTAAAATAATTTTCATTTTTAAAAACATTTAACTTTGTTTCTGCATATTTTGTGGCCAAATGAAATATAGGATGGAAATTAACAACAAAAATAAAAGACTTCTTCAACATATTAAATTTTAATGATCAAGTTAACCTAACACACAACCGTGACCACCCTGTCACCAAAACATGACAAGTCAAGGTCTGTCATATTTCTTTCCAAAAATACAAAGTAAAATTCTAGGGTCTCTTCCATAATCATATAGCATGAAGAAACAATGTGCCTATTTCAAATACATGTGATATGACTTCTATATCAAACAGCAAATAATGACAATGGTTAACACTCAGAGAATACTACAACCAGGCTTACTTTTTAAATTCATTTAGTTTTCCTATAACGACCTCCATGACACAGGTTTGACATCAGCATTCTACAGATTGGAATTCAGAGTGATTGAGAAATCTGCCTGTACTCATGGTCTTTTGAGTTAGGCCATGGCAGAGCTAAGATTCAACTACTTTATAATTTCCCTCTCTTCTAGAAACTTTCATATGAACTGTCATGTAACTTAATCTCCCACCCTACCCACTAGAGCATTCTGCTAGCTGAAGCTTCAGCACTTCCACTAAGAACAAAAAATAAAACAAAACCTCTTTACTTTCCAAGGCAGCCCATTCCTAAAATCTACTCCAAATCAACGTCTCAATTCATTCAATAATACCATAGGTGGCATTATTTCAAGTCCTTGGGCATTATTTGTCCATTGATACTCTCCAACAACATATCTTTTAAAACAAGGTAGCATGTTTCGATGCTGTTCTCTCAGATCATCCCACCCTCGCCTTCTCCCATAGAGTCCAAAAGTCTGTTCTGTATGTCTGTGTCTCTTTTTCTGTCTTGCATATAGGGTTATCGTTATCATCCTGCTAAATTCCATATATATGCATTAGTATACTGTGTTTGTGTTTATCTTTCTGGCTTACTTCACTCTGTATAATGGGCTCCAGTTTTATCCATCTCATTAGAACTGATTCAAATGTATTCTTTTTAATGGCTGAGTAATATTCCACTGTGTGTATGTACCACAGCCTTCTTATCCATTCATCGGCTGATAAAAATAATTGGGGAAAAAAATAAAAAATAAAACAAGGCAACAGGGCATCTAGATTGAATTAAATATTCAGAGATGACCCAATCACCTCAAATTAGAGAAAATCTATCTGTATTATCTCAGAAATTTATTAAAGAAGTCCAAACTTTACTATTTTGGTAGCCATATCATCAATGGTTTTTGCCTGGTCTACATTCAAGAATAATCATTCTTTAATATACTGTTTAGCAATCTATTTCTTGAATTCTTCATATCCAAATACAGGTAATCATTCTGGTTAAATTTTTTTTTTCATTTATTTTTATTAGTTGGAGGCTAATTACTTTACAACATTGCAGTGGTTTTTGTCATACATTGACATGAATCAGCCATGGATTTACATGTATTCCCCATCCCGGTCCCCCCTCCCACCTCTCTCTCCACCCGATCCCTCTAGGTCTTCCCAGTGCACCAGGCCCGAGCACTTGTCTCATGCACCCAACCTGGGCTGGTGATCTGTTTCACCCTAGATAATACACATGTTTCGATGCTGTTCTCTTGAAACATCCCACCCTCGCCTTCTCCCACATGGTTAAATTTCATTTATTCCATTTGGCTAATTATCTCCCCAGTTGATTTCTGGGGTTTGGCTCATCTTCTAAAATCATCCTCACACTTCAGTTTTAACTCATCTACAAAGTTATTCAACCTGTCACCACTGCCTCAATATAAGTCATTAATAAAATGTTTAATAGGAGAGGAAAGAATTCTAAAAACTGTCCCTGGGGATCTGTGTCCAAGGAACCATTCACACCTTCAACAGTTATTAACTTAGTTTTAAAGCTCTCTACCCATACGCTTATTCAATATTTCTCCAGATATTCACAAGTATGTCAGACTTTTCATATATCTTATAGATATATATTACATCTATTATACTATCTTGATCTACAAGTTCAATAAGCCTATCAAAGAGACAAGAGATGAAAGAAAAAGACAGGTTACTCTGTCATGATGTATTCCTAGAGAAACCCATGCTAGCACACAGTTTTCCTGGTGCTCCAGCAGGAGAATAAAGCACCATTAAGTTAAAAAGAGAATTTGACTCTTATAGTTTAACTATAAGAAAAAGAAAAGAGAAGTTCCATATTCAGGTGATGAAAAAAGAAATTATTACATTACTGTTCCTCATATAATAATATAAATAAAATGTCTGAAATGTCTGCAAACATTTATAAGTATTTCTAGTGCTATCACTTTGCCCTGCAAAGGCAAGTTTTACATTTTCTTTCAAATATTAAAATTTTCATATTAAATGTCACTTAATTAAGCAGAGATGTTATGAATCTGAACATACTAAATAAAAACACAGTAGTTCTGAAAGAATATTAACTACTAAGCAGATCATGTGTGAAGCCAACTTGGTCTTATTCTAAATCCCAGTGTTTTAGAGTTGTAAAAGACCTGGTATTTAGAGTATAATTGTCTCCTTTCATAAATGAAGATACCAATGTGCTTAAGAAATGAAATGATGAAACTCATAAAGCTAATTTTCTGGCATGGTTGGACACAGAAATAAGATTCACTCTAGGGCCACTGACAAATGTTTTACAAAACCACGTCATCAAGACAAATAATAAAAAGAACAAAACAAATTCTTTCTTACCAACTGGACTTCACCAAAAGCACCTCTTCCGATAACTTTTACAACATCGTAGTCTTCTGCCTTCATCTGTAAACCTCTAATCTTTTTCACAATTTTCTCATCTACAATAAAAAGATCACCATAATATCAATCACCATATTTATAAACAACATTTTTAAATAATTACCATATTGGTAAACAAATTTGTATTTCAAATATTGGGTTTAGTTTTCAGCTAAATCTATCAGTTTTAAATGCTGTTTAAAAATCTAAGACACATAAACTTTACATCAAAGGATGAAAACTCTACATATAAGACTACCAAAAAAGCAGTATTTAAGCAATGCTGTTTCCAACTCTTGTGTAGCAAGTTAGATGACAGCTAAAACGGTGATGACCCAAGCAATCCTGGAGTACACTCTAAATCATGGCAGAAAGCTGCTACCAAGTTATACAAGGCTAATCTTCATAATGAATTCTGGTAGCCTATTTCTTTGAAAAACATTAATCACATATTGTAGATTTGATAACTACAGGTAAGTTTTTAATTAGGAAAATAAAATAGCCCAGACTCTGATAATTCCAAATTAAAAAGCTTACTGTGTTCACATGAAGTGTACACAATTATTTTGAGAATTTCTAATTCTCAGAATTCAATTCATTCACAACTTCACTGCAACATCAATACTGCTAAATATTAAAAGTTATTAAAAGTTACCACATTTATGGCAATAATTGTTATCACATTATCTTTCTTTAACTAGACTGAAATATCTACATTTAAACAAACATAAAGCTCATTTAGTCTTCCGGGTAACGTAAAGCTAAGTCTTCAGTTTAGTTTAGTCTCACAGTCATGTCTGATTGCAACCCCAGGGATTACAGTAGTACACCAGGCTTCCCTGTCCATCACCAACTCCCAGAGCTTGCTTGAACTCACGACCATCGATTCGGTGATGCCATCAACCATCTCATCCTCTGTCAACCTCTTCTCTTCCTGCCTTCGATCTTTCCCAGCATTAGGGTCTTTTCAAATGAGTCAGTTCTTCACATCAGGTGGCCAAAGGATTGGAGCTACAGTTTCAGCATCAGTCCTTCCAATGAATATTCAGAACTGATTTCCCTTTGGACTGACTGGCTGGATCTCCCTGCAGTCCAAGGGACTTTCAAGAGTCTTCTCCAACACCACAGTTCAAAAGCATCAATTCTTTGGTGCTCAGCCTTCTTTATGGTCCAACTCTCACAACCATACATGATGACTGGAAAAATCATAGCTTGGACTAGATGAACCATTCTTGCAAAGTAATATCTCTGCTTTTTAATATGCTATCTAGGTAGGTCATGGTTTTTCTTCCAAGGCGCAAGCATCTTTTAATTTCATGGCTGCAGTCACCATCTGCAGAGATTTTGGAGCCCCAGAAAATAAAGTCTGTCCTTCTTTCCATTGTTTCCCCATCTATTTGCCATGAAGTGATGGGACCTGGTGCCATGATATTAGTTTTTTGAATGCTGAGTTTTAAGTCAGCTTTTTCACTCTCCTCTTTCACTTTCATCAAGAGGCTCTTTAGTTCTTCCTCACTTTCTGCCATAAGGGTGGTGTTATCTGCATATGAGGTTATTGATATTTCTCCCGGCAATCTTGACTCCAGCTTGTGCTTTCCATTTCACATGATGTACTCTGCATATGAGTTAAATAAGCAGGGTGACAATATGCAGCCTTGACATACACTTTTCCAATTTGGAATCAGTCCGTTGTTCCAAGTCTAGTCCTAACTGTTGCTTCTTGACCTGCATACAGGTTTCTTAAGAGGCAGGTAGCGTGGTCTGGTATTCCCATCGCTAAGAATTTCCACAGTTTGTTGTGATCCACACAGTCAAAGGCTTTGGTGTAGTCAATAAAGCAGAAGTAGATGTTTTTCTAGAATTCTCTTGCTTTTTCTTTTTCAAGCTAACTCTCTTAGCTTACTGAAAAAAGCAAGCTAAGTTTAGATTTATTAATATTAGCTGAAAGCTTCTCTTGGAACTGTCATAAATGACCTGTTTTGAAAATGCTAAATAGTCTTAATTTATACAAAATTTTGAACTTTACCTATTTCACATACTTTAATTGGTTTTCCAATTTTGGTTTGAAAATAAAGGATATTAGTATTCAAATACATCAGGTGGCAAACTAAAAATATTTAATGATTTAAAAGTTTGTGGACTGTAATGATATTAAACATAAATCTCTCATCAAAAGTAGAGTTATGTGATCACATATGAAGTTTACACATACTTACATCTATTTAAGAAATTATCTATATTTTTGTTTTTCCTCAAAGCAGGAAAATCCAAATCAAGGACCAAAGAATTTAAGCCATCCTGTTTAACAAAAAATAAACAGAGGGAAAAAAAGTTATTACAATTTTCAATCATTCAAGACAAAAAGCCTTTAAATTTTACTGTGCTACTCTCACTAAATAAATGTCGATCCACTTTGATCTGAAATTGCCCAGTCCAATAGCTTTAAATAGTTTCCTAACTTCTGCCAGAGAATATTAGGGTTGATCCTATCATATTTTCCACTGTACTTTTAGCCAATAGAAAAAGGTCATTTTAAAATGTACATCCACTATTATTTCTTGTGAGTCAGGTATTTTTTCTCTCTTTGAATGTCCAGTAAAGTTTTACAAAGCTTTTAACTTTAAGAAATATACCTAGAATAAGTTTTAGTTCCCATTCATTCAACAAGCATTAATTGTGCGCCTAGTGCATGGAAAGAAAAGAAAATCTAAAAATAAGTGAGACACTAAACTATCCTTACCCTCAGGAAAGTGAGGTTCAAAACTAAATTTCCCTTAAAAACATGAAAACAGGATGAGGCATTTTCAGGTTTCTATTTTTTTCTTTAAGTTTTCTGTATTTTCTAGACTTTCTACAAGCATGCATTAAATTCATAATCAAAATAGGAAAAAGTACATGTATGTAACTTGGTGAGAGTGAAAAAAACTAGTAAGAAACAAACCAAGTCAATGGAGGGGATATGCTTATGAAGGAAACAGTATTTCTAAAACACTGGGCCATATATTGCTTCACCCCCAAGTAACTCCGAGGAAGGCAGAAAAAGACATATTCTCATTTAAAAAAGAAAAAAATTACAGTTTAGAAAGATTAAGCCACTTTGGCAAGCCCAAGGTCTTGCTATTAGAAAATGATGTAGCAAAATACTTCCTAAGTCTTAGAGGTTCAATATACTTAACTCATCTCCCTCATCTCAACCACCAGTGGAAGCTTGGAAGGGTAAAGAAGAAGCTAAAGGATTGCAGAAAACGAAATGGTAATAAAGAGAGATTTTAAGGATCTGGGTAGGAAGAAAATGTGGGGGAAATCACATGGAAAACTTAGAAAGGAAACTTGAATTTTTACTTTACTAATTCTAGAAAAACTGTACATATTATGTTTATTTACAAGTAATATTTCATATTTTCAATTTCTGTTCTTTAAGAAACATGTCAACACTTTGTGAAAATATTCTATAGAGAATGGTGTAGAGGTGGTAACAGTAAGCCATAAATATTTTTAATCACAATGAACACTATCTACATCCCACTGATATCATTAATGCAGATACACTGAAACGATAGTGATTCTTTCCAACTGAAAGAAAATAATACATTAAAAATTAACATACAAAGTCCAGTCAAGTTGATACTGTTACATTCACATTTTGACACCCTCCCTCCATCCTCAACCCACAAATTCCCTCTCAAGGATAGCTGAACTATTTTTCATACTAGCATTTTAGCATACTAGGCTATTTGTAAGTACCAAAATATCAATATATCTTCGTTGGTATAATTTTGATATTTTAATAAGTTTAAAATGCAAAATCTGATCACATATTTTTAGATATATCCAGATTTATACTCTGTGTTAACATTTCAAATCAAAAAGGGTACATTCATTTGAAAGGTCCTCTGCTATAGGACCTCAATTAATCTCCACAAAGAAGAAAACATTTAAATTGATAGGCAGAAGCTTCTATTAACAAGAATATTCTCCTCTAGTTCAGACTTTCCCAAGAAACATAATTTGTACACTTCATACTGTCTCCATGTACATATAATGAAGACAAAAGAAAACTTTCTTTGAAACAAAACTACAGCTTGACATCAGTAAAAGGACTGAATCCTTGCTTACCTTACAGCCTCCCCAAAAGTCATCACAGAGAGATGGAGTTCCACAAAGAATAAACAAACAGGAAAAAAAACTGGAAATAGTTTATAAATATTTTCCCATAATATCTCCCACTAGTGTATAGAGTCAGAGCTTTTTCAGCAGCTGGAACACGTGAGCAGTAGCTCAACTCAGTGGTAATACTATTTTGTTTGTAAACCATTCTTTGAAGATCAAATATTATTTCATTTGCACATTAAGGGGTTTTTTTTGGTAGCATTTATTTTTGAATAATACTAATAGTTTAATTTGCTAATAATTTACATCAGAAGAGATTGCAGGGGTAAATACATTTACATTTATACTTCTACATTTATAAATTTCTACACTTGAAACTTATTCTACTTAGTACTATTTTTAAGAAACAAATACTGAATTATTAAAAGATACCAGTATTTTCAGTATATGAAAATGATGATGAGATCAAGTTGCTCCATTAGCTCAAGACTTGATTAAAACCCTATGTCTATATCATCCTCGTTAAGCAGTTCCATATAATCCTTAGGAGGTCATTTTTTTTAACACTGATTCTTAGAAAGTGATACTAAAACTGAGATAAAGAAAGTTTAAAAAATAAAACATATTAAAGAAAAGCCTACAATCAAAACTTCAAAGCAATGAAGAAAATTAACACTATTTGTCTCTTTCCCTACTTTCAAATGCATAGAAATGACAGGAGAGATTTAAAAGTTGTAGCCCCACTAAAAGTGGGAAAAAAACACCATCACCACAAAGTATTCAAGAATGAGAAAGAAAAATGTCAAGCAATAAGTAGAAGCTAAAGTTGCAAAGATCTACTGGATTTCAGTGCAGAGAGCAGTAAGACCAAAGACTGAGAATTAAAAGAACCCAATGGACAAAATGTTTCCTCAAGATCGATTACTGGGAAAACAATAGCTGGAGTGAAAAACCCCAGCTCCAGCTCCTAAAAGACATTTAAAAAAAAATCTTACTGTCCAATTTTTATATGAAATTGCATAAGGAGGAACGTCAGACATAGCTTTCAAATAAATCTTAAGCTAAGCCCTCAGAGCATGCCCACTTACCAGATCTCCCATATTTCTAATATCTTTGGCTAATAATATGGGAATCAGCTCCAGTACTGACTTGGGTTTTCTGCATGTAGAAAGTTAGCAACACAGGAAGGTAGAGAGAAAAGTGATTTATCCTACTGTCTTTCTGAATAAACAGATACAGGTCAACATCCAATTTTTCTCATTACAATTACTACGGCAGGAGAAAAAAATATGTATAGAACGACCTATTTTCCTAACTTTTCCTGAACACAAATAATAGAATGGGAAAGACTAGAAATCTCTTCAAGAAAATTAGAGATACCAAGGGAACATTTCATGCAAAGATGGGCACAAAAAAGGACAGAAATGATAAAGACATAACAGAAGCAGAAGAGATTAAGAAGTGGCAAGAATATAGAGAACTGTACAAAAAAAGGTCTTAATGACCTAGATAACCACAATGGTGTGGTCACTCACCTAGAGCCAGACATCCTGGAGTATGAAGTCAAGTGGGCCTTAGGAAGCATTACTACAAACAAAAATAGCGGGGGTGATGGAATTCCAGCTGAGCTACTTAAAATCCTAAAAGATGATGCCGTTAAAGTGCTGCACTCGATATGTCAGTAAATTTGGAAAACTTAACAGTGGCCATAGGACTAGAAAAGGTCAGTTTTCCTTTCAATCCCAAGGAAAAGCAATGCCAAAGAATGTTCAAACTACCATACAATTGCACTCATCTCACATGCTAGTAAAGTAATGCTTAAAATTCTCCAAGCCAGACTTTAGCAATATGTGAACCATGAACTTCCAGATGTTCAAGCTAGTTTTAGAAAAGGCAGAGGACCCAGATATTACATAGCCAACATCCACTGGATCATCAAAAAAGCAAGAGAGTTCCAGAAAAACATCTATTTCTGCTGGACTGCTTGACATCTATTTGACTATGCCAAAGCCTTTGAACTGTGCGGATCACAATAAACTGTGGAAAATTCTGAAAGAGATGGGAATACCAGACCACCTGACCTGCCTCTTGAGAAACCTGTATGCAGGTCAGGAAGCAAACTCTTGAGAGTCCCTTGGACTGCAAGGAGATCCAACCAGTCCATCCTAAAGGAGATCAGTGCTGGGTGTTCATTGGAAGGACTGGTGTTGAAGCTGAAACTCCAATACTCTGGCCACCCGACTCGAAAAGCGGACTCACTGGAAAGACCCTGATGCTGGGAAAGATTGAGGGCAGGTGGAGAAGGGGACGACAGAGGATGAGAAGGTTGGATGGCATCACCGACTCGATGGACATGGGTTTGGGTGGGCTCCGGGAATTGGTGACGGACAGGGAGGCCTGGCATGTTGCGGTTCATGGGGTCGCAAAGAGTCAGACACAACTGAGCGACTAAACTGAACTGAACTGGATCATAGAAAAAGCAAGGGAATTCCAGAAAAACACCACTGACCACGCTAAAGCCTTTGACTGTGTGGATCACAATAAACTGTGGGAAATTCTGAAAGAGATGGGAATACCAGACCACTTTGTCTGCCTCCTGAGAAACCTGTAAGCAGATCAAGAAGTAACAGTTAGAACTAGACATGGAACAACGGACTGGTTCCAAATTGGGAAAGGAGTATGATAAGGCTATATGTTGTCACCCTGCTTATTTAACTTTTATGCAGAGTACATTACGCAAAATGCTGGGCTGGAAGAAGCACAAGCTAGAATCAAGACTGCCGGGAGAAATATCAATAACCTCAGATATGCAGATGAAACTATCCTTAGGGCAGAAGCAAAGAGGAACTAAAGAGCCTCTTGATGAAAGGGGAAAAGGAGAGTGAAAAAACTGGCTTAAAACTCAACATTCAAAAAACTAAGATCATAGCATCAGGTCCCGTCACTCAATGGCAAATAGATGGGGAAATAACAGAAACAGTGAGAGACTTTATTTTCCTGGGCTCCAAAATCACTGTGGACAGTGACTGCAGCCATGAAATTAAAAGATTCTTGCTCCTTAGAAGGAAGGCTATGACAAACCTAGACAGCATAATTAAAAAGCAGAGACATCACTTGCCTGACAAAGGTCTGTATAGTCAAAGCTGTGGTTTTCCCAATAGTCATGTACAGATGTGAGAGCTAGACCG